AAGAGGCTCTCATACTTTAGCCTCTGTAGGGGGACTTGAAATGGAAAAACTGGCGAATATATGACAAGCAAATCTCTTTTTAATCTCAGAAAATTTGACAAGCTGAATGCAGAGGTAACTGTGTTACTGATGGAAGGAAATGCAACGTTCATGTGTCACCTATCTAGCCGGCAGGTTCACTGCATAAAATACTGGCCCCTAGGTAGAAACTGAAAGAGAGCATGGCCCTTATTTATTTCCTTTTTGATGTACAGCTCTGAGACTAAGCCAGGCAAGATGCTCATAAGGCATATTAATAATCTATCATTTGCTGACATTTGAATGAACTCGGATATTTAATTCAATACGAGTGCAGCCGGAAAAGGATGCTTACTGAATCTATACAGATTGTACTCTAAAGGCAGAGAAGCTGATGACAAGAGATTCCAGGTTGAGGCACTCTGGCATAGTCGCCAACAAGAGTTGATCTGTAAGTAACACTCACCAGAGGGATTGGCATTCCTTTGTTGTGGATCCCACACCCCAGTTGTATCATTTAGGAATCTGAGGTCTGGGAGCAAAAATGCAGTCCTTCAGGTGTATCTGTCTGTCCCCCATAACATTCCTGTGTCCTTCATATATGCTCCATATATCCCTTGAGTATTTTTGCCTGCCTGGAATATATCATTGGACTCTTGACAACATCTCTTGCTGGTCTTGATTGGGGAGAGGCAGGTGGAAGAGTGTGTGAGTGCGTATGTGAAAACTAGTCTACTGTACAAATGTAAAATCCACATTCATTGCTCTGCCCAGTACTGGCATTATTTATTTTATTCATAAAAAACTTATATTCCGCTTGATTGTTTTTTAAAAAAACCCCTCAAAGAGGTTTACAAAGAGATTAAAACAATAAAATTATCAGGAAAATAATCCAACCCCCCCCCCCAACAACTCTGTAAAATATTCAAAACATGAAATAAATAGTTAATTAAAGACAGATAAAAAATGCACCAGCATTCTATGCATATTAGGGAGGCTTGCCTGAACAAGAATGTTTAGTAGAGCAGTTGCTGAAAAGTGTACAATGAAGGTGCCTGCCTGGTGTCGTCAATAAGCAGGGAGTTCCAAAGTATAGGTGCTGCCACAATAGACCATCTATTTGATCATGATTAAAGGAGGAGGAGTTTGGATTTGATATCCCTCTTTATCCCTATCCGAAGGAGTCTCAAAGTGGCTAACATTCTCCTTTCCCTTCCTCCCCCCACAACAAACACTCTGTGAGGTGAGTGGGGCTGAGAGACTTCAGAGAAGTGTGACTGGCCCAAGGTCACCCAGCAGCTGCAGGTGGAGGAGCAGAGACGCGAACCCTGTTGAGTTTACCACTCTTAACCACTACACCACACTGGCTTCTTCGTTCATTCTTTCTTTCTATCTTTCTGCTCACAAAGAATCAAGAGTTATGGTATGATTGTGTGGCATGAGATCAGAATTCGGTAATGATTCCTATGTTTAATAGGGGAGAGGGAATCCCATTTGTTCTGTGACTTTTCATGGCATCTTTCTGCTTTGACTAAGGTTCGTATATCTTGTCTGTACTGTAATTCAAAATGTCTGCTGGGGAATTATAAGGTGAACTGGGTTACCTAGTAGACTGAGACCTTTCTTATTGACCTGTCGGTTTGTATCCATCAGCCTGAATGGTTATGTACATTGGGCAAATGGCAAAAGGCACAATCCATTAAGTGGTGAAGCACGCCCCCCCCCTTCATTTCACTGGGTTTTGTGCAGGAGTCTCACACAAGACTCATTTCAAATAATAAGAGGTTGTACAGCTGCAGTACTTAGTGAACTGTGCCCTTGGTGATAAAGCAGATTGCTTGTTTCCCCCAAGGTCTGATTTTATAAGAGGGAAGCCCATTGAATGTAAACCAACCCCTTGAAAATAATGGAAGTTAACGGCTAAGTTTAGTTTGCTGCTAAGTAGCTGGTGGTTAGTAACTGAGGAGTTGATGAAAGTAAGGTGAAGTTCAGCCCTGTGCAGGTATACTCAGAAGCACGTTATTCTGTGTTTGCTCAGCTAAGTTGCAAGCATATAAGATTTCAGTACGTCATAAAATGTGGTGCTAACAGTGGTAATAGAGCTGATCAGGATTGTATATTAGACAACCTTAATGAGTGTGAGGCAGCCTTTGGGGGTGAATTTGCCTGGTGGCGTATGACCCACAAAGCAGCAAAATGGAGCAGATTTCCAATCATACCTTGGTTCCCATGGGGCCTCATGGGAGGGGGGAGAAGCATTTATAAGGTTCCCCCCTCAAGAGTTCAGGGCCTTATAAAGAGCAGATTGTGCCACATTTGGAACTGGGGTGAGGGAAGAGCACAGAGATGTGTGGAGGGGGACTCCCTGGCCCTCACTGCACTCGCAGTGGCCCTCCTCCCAACCCACCTGTGGTCCTGGCATCCTATTATCTGAATGGGGTGTTTGCTCCTGACCTCCTAGGGAGATGCTGGCCTGGGACCTTGCATTTCCCCATTTCCTCTCCCTTGAGTTTGCGATCTGGTGATGGCGCTGGGTTGAGATAACCTGGCCAATGTGTGTGGCCTGTAGGCCTGTTTCCAGGACTCTGGATCATAGCCTGCCTTGACCAATTGAATGCAGGCTTAGGTGCAGGCCATCCCCCAGATGCCCTCCTGTGGGTATCACTTGGGTCCACTTCCAGGGGTTAAACTGAGGCCTGCCTAGTCCTCCTCACCCAGTTTGTTGCCAGATCTTGATTTGTACAGCTCATCATCTTGTATGTACACTTGTTAAAGATACCTGTGAATAACCAGGTGAGTGTCCAAATCAGCTCTTTGTATACACAGGAACACAGATGGATATAATGTGTTAACACTGCTAGTGATTATAAGTACGGATAGGATTCAAAATGGATATATGTATATTGGATTCTAAGAGATGGCCTCTCTTGCTCTCCAGGTCTCAGTAGCTTTCCTACCGAAATAACCCCACCTCCCAAATGAGTTATTGTTCCCTACAGACAGGGAGTCCCTTTCTTGCTTTGCCCAATCTCTCTCTTTCCTGGTGATGATATAGCTTCCATTTATCTCAGCAACCAGACTGTGTCATAGCAAATGTAAAGGCAGTATTATATCCAGCAGGTGACATTCTGATATTGTCTGCTTCTGAAGAACCCTGAACAATTTGAATGTTATCATGATATACAGAACCCCAAGGAGGAACATTGTCTGCTGTGGTATAATGCATTTAAAATAGATGTTTTATAGAGCAAGCTGAATTATTCATTTCAAATAAATTATTGGGCAGATTTAGACCTTCCCATTCTGTTTGTGAATTGCTCATGAATTAGTCTCAAACCTCCTGGTGTATCTGCAGTGTTGATTGGTACTTAAGAAAATTAGATTTCACTTCTGGGTCTGTTAGGAGAATGGTTGATGCTTTGTTACCTGTGGGCATTTTAAGCACACTGACATGGAATGATTTCATTTCTTACTCCCCCCCCCCTTCCCTCCCTCCACATTGGATGAGTGAAACACTAGAGTAAGAATGATGACAACAAAAAGAAGCATAACATGCTCTGGGTAAGACACCCCCTTCCCTCTTCAAATGATCATGGAACTGCCTGGAGTTCATTATGAGCTTATCAGGGGTTCCCCAAAAAAGATTAGTACTCGCAGACAAGACTCCCTGACGGACAACTTGTTTACCATTGAGGGCCACTCTGATCTGCTTGCACAAAGCACACAGAGAAGTTAGGTTATATCCGGTCTTTCTTGAACATTTCTTCTGACTTGTTCTGTGGAGAAAGCTATGCAACAGTGAACTGTAATCTTGAGTTCATCTTGATTTGTTTGCAAGGCATTTATACATCTTCTTGTTAGTCATTTGTTCATCTGACGTGGATCTGATTCTTCTTTTCTTTTTGAGGCGGATTGGTTGGAACCCTTTAATCCACTTCAACTGCACAAACCTGAAGTCCCAGTCTGCACTTGAATCCCTCCTGCAAAATCAGAAGGCCCAGTGACACTGTTCCCACACAATGTGCAATTCCAGGGATATTTGCCCCTAGAAATCAGAGACTACTGTACATTGATGCCAACAGCACAAAGAGCTACAATTTTATCCCTCTACCAAGTGAACTCCAGAAATTGTGGCTCTCATGGGAATACTGATCTCCTTACAACTCACAGCACCCTTAACAAACTACAACCCCAGAATTCTTTAGGGGAAGCTGTATCTTTTTAAAGTGGTATCATAGTGCTTTAATCACAGGGTGTGCATGTGGCCTTAGTGTAAGCATTTTTGTACATGTTCTTTGGCTGGAGAAGTGCATTCCAAAATTTGGAGAAGTGTGAGTTTTTTGGGGTGGGGAGGAATGGGCTCTGTTTCAGTTTGCATGTTTTGGAAATTGCAAATGACACAAGTTCACACTGAAATGCTAATCGGATCAAATTTGCCCCCCATCCATGGACATGAGAGTTTTCCCAGACACTCAGAAATGTTCTGTGCCTTCAAGTTCCCTTTGTTTTCAGTGTGAATTGAGATCATACAACCTCTTCCAGTCTTTGCCTTCTAAATCTGCAAATTGCCAGCTTTAATATCACTTTTGACCTTTTTAATATTCTGTGTTTAGACAGTTCCCTCCCCCCTTGCTGCAGTGTTTTACAAACGAGGAAGCTACAGCAGAATCCAAGATGCCTACTCTCTGTGTGTATGTGTCAGGGGGTGGGAGAAAGTGAAACCTGAAAGGGGATTTTAATATAGTTTAGCTTTTTTTGGGGGGGGGGTTGTAATTGTTGCAGCAGTACAAGTGTAATCTCTGCTAATTATACCATCTTCATATTGTTAGTGAATCTGTTTCTTACCCAGATTCTGTTGCTGCTGACTTCAAAGCAACTGAGCAAAGCTGCCTTACACTGAATCAGATCATTAATCCATTTAGGTTAGTATTGTCTGTTCTGACTGGCAGAAGCTCTCCAACATTTCAGGCAGGAAATCTATGTGGTGATGCTAGGGATTGCACCTGGGACCTTCTGTGCAAGACAGATGCTCCACCACTGAGGCACAGTCCTCCCTGCCCACCTCACTTACCATGTTGATATTTTTTTAATTTTTTTTTTATTCACGCATTTTACATATCATAGTAAATCAGTTATACAATTGTCACCATTTATCTTGCAGTCTTTGACTTCAACATACATCCCTCTGCGGGGTCTTGTTAAGCTGCATCTCCTTAATTACCACACCTCATAGCTTATTTTCACTGCTGCTCATATATATAACCCCACTTGGAAATTTATCTGATTGTTATATTTCTTTAAATATTTGCCAAAGTATTCCCACTCTTCTTTTCTATCCAACTCATCCTGATTTCTTATCTTTGCAGTCAACATTGCTAACTCCGTGTATTCCATTAGCTTATTTTGCCAGTCTATTTTTGCGGGACTATTTTTGTCCTTCCACCTTTGGGGATAAATTATTCCGGAAGCTGTTATTGCATAGAGGAAAAGACTAAGTACTTTTTGGGTAATCCCCCCTCAACTATACTCAATAAGAACATCGCTGGTTTCTTGGTAAATGAGACCCTTAACATCTTTTTTTAGTTCTGAGTATATCATCTCCCAATACTCTTTGGCTTCCTTACAGCCCCACCATGTATATAAATGTCACTTCAATCTCTTCACTTTTTAAACAAAATTGTTTCCTTTTTCGTTTTTTTTTTTTTTTACATTTTCTTTACACATTTACTGGGGTGAGGTACCATCTATATATCATCTTTTGTAGGTTCACGTTTAGGGTATAGCATGCAGAGAAGCTTATCATTGTTTTCCACAATTTTTCCCAAGAGGCCATATCTATGTTGTGTTCTAGGTCAATTGCCCATTGAATCATAGAGGCCTTTGTCGTTTCTTCCTTAGTCTCCCACTCTAATAAGATTTTATAATTTTTTGAAACCAGTTTTTCTTCGTTGCTCAATAAGACTTTTTCGAGTTCTGAGCTTTCCTCAGAGAATCCTCTTTCTTTGTCTTTCCTAAATGTCTAATTTAATTGGAAATACTGGAACCAGGTTTTGATCGAGTTTTGTATGTCTTCTCTCTTTAAGTTTGGCTTTCCTTCTTTGAATTCTATAATATATTTATAGGTGCCCCAATCTCCTTTCATGTTGGTCTTCTTTTACTGATAGCACTTCTCAAACAAGCTCTGCAGGGGCCTGGATGGGCTTCTGCTGACAAGGCAGGGGTAGAAAACTATGGTCATCTACTAGTTGTGGACTTCATCTACTTTCATCCCTGACCATTACCCATGCTGGCTTGAGCTGATGGAGGCCACATCTGTAGAGCCACAGCTCATTCCTGTGGAAAGAGGTGTATCAGAGCTGGGCTGTAAGCATCTGTCAAGTTGGAAATAGAAGGCAAAAGTCAAGCTTGGGGTGAAGCCAGAAGATCAAGCCAGCCCAAGCAATGAAAAAGCCTTTCTATACCTCCTGCTTAGTAAGGGCCAGTCTGTCTGAGTGGGAGAAGCTAGAAATTTTTAATGCTTAGGAAGTTGCTGTAAGCTGCAGTCCTCCTGGTGGTTCGAAGTACAGGGTCAACCCCTGAATACTCATTCTAAGACACAGAGCATTGAGACATACTGTACACCCTCCAGATGCCCTTTCAATTTGCTAACCTTCCTTCCATAGGTATTCCACCCATCATAATGAGTTAAATTTTGTATTAATAGAACATATTCTCTTCAGTTACTTATACAAACTGCCTACATCCTATATTCAACAGATGCCTTTCAAATTTGCATTGATAATGCTCACTTCATCTTCTGCAGGGGATAAATATGTCTTTCCTGTTTCCAGTGGGTCAGAACCCTACTGTTGCTGTATTATGGGATGAACATATTCATTTGCCACATCTGACGTCAGCTGGTAGCTGTTCACATATCTCTAACCATGGTATTTATCTGGATTAAGACCTACTTCCATTTAAAAGTCACAGATTTCTGTATAATTCAATAATGACACATTTCCCCCCAGCCCAATGGAAAATCTATGTGACAAAAACTTTTTAAGATTATAATGCTGCCAGATTAATCTATTCATTCAATAATTCCTCTCTGCTATATTGCTAGAAGAGTTACTTGAGGATTTATGGCTTTGGAAGAAGGGTTTAATATTTATCTGAGGGGCTGAATTGGATGGGGTGGTGGAAACAAGGAATAAAGCTGAATTAACTTGTAGACAGGTGCCTTGATCACACTAAGGAGATCTGTAAAAGTTACCAGGATTATGAATGTGTATTACTTTTTGGATAAGGAATCGGAAGCATAAATCTGATATGCATCAAATGTGCAACAGCATGTGTATTCTGGCTACAATCCTGTGCACACTTTCTTAGAAGTAACACCACTGAAATCAATAGGACTTTGGTAAACATGCACTAGATTAGGCTGCCAAGTGTGGATGCTCACTATCTAGCTAGAATGTTTAGTTGCTGCCTTTCATTTTTTAAAGGTATTATTATTTTTGCAAATATAACAGAAAAAAGAAAGAGAGCTGATAATAAAAATATTCAATCAATCCCAACTTTAACCTATAAATGAATTAGGCATTCCATATGTCCAAATAGACATGCAAATGAGATTGATGATTATAAGATACACATTTAAACATAGAAAAGGCAGTGAGATCTTCAGACTACTGAGTAGTAGATGCTGGCTCTATCTTTCACCCTTTCAGTGCAAGTCTCTTTCCAAGTAATGGACTCACAGGATCCACTTTTGTTGTACATCTGTTAGTCCCCACACCACTGAAATATAACTTTAAAATGTGTGAATATCACAGTTATCAAGGATTTTTCCAAAACAGAAAGAAGGCACCATGAGCATGCCCATATCATGTGCCTTTCGGTTCTAAAAGTCACACACACACGGCAACTAACAAAAATCATAGCTAAAAAAAGAAAGAAATCAGAGAAAGTAGCACAAATTATTGTAGAGAGAATTCATTTGGGCTTCTTTTTCTTCTAGTACTTAAGATAGCTTAGTCAGTAGACCCACAATCTCAGCGTTGTATGTTTGAGCCCCACTTTGGGCAAAAGATTCCTCCATTGCAAAGAGTTGGACTAGATGGCCCTCATGGTCACTTCCAACTCTACGAGTCTCCTCCTTCTCCACTTCTTTTCCTCTAATGAACTCAAGGAAGCATTATGTTTCTCCCGCTCCTAACTGTCTCTTCACAACAACCCTTTGGGAGAGATGAAGCTAAAAGATAGTGACTGGCCCAAAGTCACAAAGTGAAGTTCATGGTTGAGGGAAGCTTTGAACCCTGTTTTATCAGGTCCTCACCCAACACTGTAACCACTACAACCACTTCAGCTTTCATGGGCATGATGGAATCAGATAGCTTTCACCAAACACTGAAACACCAGAGAATCCTCATAAGGCAATATGTCCCTTAATTCTTCTCCCACTCTCATAAACTTGGGCCATCCACTGAAGCTAAATGATGGAAGATTCAGGACAGACAAAAGAAAGTCTTTCTTCAAACAGCACATGGTCAAGCTGTGGAGTTCACTTTCACAAGGTAGTGATGGTCACTAACTTGAATGGCTATAAAAGAGTGTTAGAAAAGCATGGAGCATAAGGCAAGCAATAGCTGCTAGCCATGATGTCTATGTCCTGTCTCCACTGTCAGAGGCAATATGCCTCTTAATGCCAGTTGTTGTGAATCACAAGAGGGAAGAGTGCTGTTGCACTCAGAACATTTTTGAGGGCTTCCCACAGGCATCTGGTTAGCCACTGTGAGAAGAGGATGCTGGACTAGAGGGGCTGTTGACTGATAGTGCAAGGCTCCTCTTTTGTTCTTCCTTTTGGTGGCCTTAAGTCTACTAGACCGTTGGAGAAATAAGGAAACTATTATGACATTTGCTCTTTGGCCATGTGCTCTGCAATGCTGGGTAGTGTTCATATGACATTCTGCCTCTCTTTCTCTTTTCTCTCTGCCCCCTCTCTCTCCTTGACATATCGTATCCCTTACATCAATCATATATATTGGTGTCAGATCCCTTTGGTTTTTCTTGGATAGCTTCAGGCTGATTTGGTATTCATTTTTCGTAGGATTCCTTTTGATTCTCTCTCCCTCCTTCTCCCCACCACCCTTCTCTCTGACTTTAATTAAGCTCTTGAGCTTTGTGGATTTGGACAATCTTTATTAAAAATAATAAATGGGCACTTTTTTTGGAGGCCCTCCAATTCCACTTGAGGTCTCCCATAGGTTCAGAAAGGAAGCAATTGCATCTGATCAGAATAAAAATGAGTTCTAGAAGGTGCATTTGAGATCAAATATTTCAACCTTCCCTTAACATGCAAAAAGATAATTGAAAAGTATTTGGTTTTTTAAAAAAATTCTCAAAATTATTTGGACAATTAGTTATACAACTTGCATTCACAGTTAACAGTGATTTCCAGAACACTACAAGTGTCGTGTAGTACCTAGAGTTTTAACACACACACACACACACACACACACACACACAAAAGAAGAGAAGATTGACATTTTTGTTTAGCCAGTTCTCATGCATATTTCTGCAGAAGCAAGCCCCACTGAATCTGAAGGAACTTAGTCCCAAGAAAGGATTACATTTGGCTTTGTTCCAGTTGCTCAAAGTTCAAATGTCCTACCGGAGGACTGAAACCAGGTCAGGGTTGTGCCAGGAATTATGTCCCCCTCAAGATGCTGATCTACAGAGGTGACCATCCTAAGATTGCGACTGGGCTTGCTTCTTCTGCCAATGGTGCTGAGGGCATCCAGTGCAGCTGGCTTAAAAGCATCACTGTCCAGCCAGGCATGAAAGTGAACAGTGGCCAGCCAATCAGCAAGGCACGGACCAGGCATAAGGGCCTCTGAATGGCCCATTTAAACTTCAGGTCTTGGCAGGCAGTCATACCCAGACCCGCCAGCCAAGTAAATTACCAGCTAGCCAGCTAGCAACATAAGCTCTGACCGCCCAGGGAGGATGGCTAGAAGCAAGGGGGTTGCAACCATCACCCATCTGGGAAAGGGTGAGTGGCCATTGGCGC